GGGGGGGGGGCAGTTTCAGTACTTTAAAAAGTGTGCGGGATGGGGAGACAAGATCTTGGGCCCAGTAAGGATCAGGCCCCGCCCTTGTGCCATTTTTAAATGGCTAAAGTCTTCTTTAAAATGGCATTAGCAGCCAGGAGAACTGATCTGTGGCCACAGTAATGTCCAGTTTGGCCCTGACCTGTGTCACTTTCCTGTAGAAGACAAGACTCTTCCTGCCCTAACCTAACAAACAGGAAGTTGCTTAAATGTTATCAAGCTGTCCAAAGTACATATTCATTAAAATATTTATATCCCACTTTTCTTTGTGACTCAAGGCAGCTTACAAATCACACTGAAAAGCATAATAATAATAAAGCTCCAAATAACCGATTCCTCACAAGAGATACCTGCTGTTTAAAGCCCCATTAAAAACCTTCAGATAAAATACCCTTGCAGCGTGTTCTGGACGTTTCTAAAGATGCTCCCCCCCAATTTTAGTAGTTTAATCTCAAGACTGCCTTTGATGCGACAGCTGACATCCAGAGAAAGTTACGGACGGAACTGGCTCCCATGCGCCCTGTTAGCCAAGATCCTTGACGACTACCATCACCTTCAAATCGTGAGAAGGAAAAATACTATGCTTAAAATTGTGCTGTGCTTTCTGGTTTGCCTAGCCCAGACTTTCTCCTTTCTTTCTTCAGGAAAAAACCCATCGATTCTCATTTATGCACTATCCTATCTTTCCTTCACGGAACTTAGAACAATGTACACAATTCTCTCCTCTGTTTTACTCTCATAACAACCTTGGGAGGTAGGTTACTTCACATTACGTTTCATAGCTAAGTAGAATTTGAACCCAGGTCTTCAACGCTCTAGCTGACCTACACTGACTGTGAACAGATGAAGCTACCTTACACTAAGACAGACCATTGGTGCATCAGAGTCAGAATTATCTACTCTGATTGGCAGGAGCGCTTTAGGGTCTCAGACAAAGGTCTTTTATCTGGTCAGTTGCTGTTTTTAAACTGGAGATGCCAGGGATTGAACCTGGGACCTTCTGCATGCAGAGCAGATGCTCTGTCCCTGAGCCACACACCATTCAGTAAACCTGTATTTCCTACATTAGAAATACATTTGCACCTGTTGCATCTGGGGGGAAAAATTCTACAATAAACTTTTTTTAAAAATGCCACAAGATTCCTGTTTAGTAGAACAGGGTTAACCCTTGGCCTAGAAAGTCATTTACAGCTGTTGTGGTTTTCCCCTCTTGCAACTGTTGCCCACCATTAAAAAACATCACTAGCAGAAGATGTGCAGAGAGGCCATTCTTAAAATACATCTCTCCTAGGGTCGCCAGCTCTGGCTTGGGAAATTCCTAGAGATTTGGGGGTGGTGCCTGAGGAGGGTCAGGGTGGGATGAAGTTTGGGGACTTTGTGATGCCATATTGTCCAGTCTTTTAGCCTGCCAGTTCTTGCAGGGAAACTGGTATAAGTAGCCTGGAGATCAACTATACATCAGTCCCACCTAGAGACTGGCAACCGTATCCGCTCTGTTCTCTCGACTGCACCCCAGCAGCCTAGTTTTGCGTTCGTCGCCCCATCTCTTTTAGAACCACCCCTTGCCGCCGCCGAACCACGCCTCCTCCTCTCCCAGCCCCGCCCTTCAAACTCAGGCTTTTTATTGGCTCTAACGGGGATAGTCACGCCCCCTACTTTAACCCCGCCTCCTCGAACTCTGTGGTCTTGGAGACCTCCCTCCCCCTCGCGCGGTCGAGCCTCGCCTCCGACGGGCGTTTGCGCATGCTCCGCGTCCCCCCCTCGCGAAGGGCCTACCGAGAGGCAGGGCCTGGCGGGCCCGCCCCCTTCAACCGCAGGGCGGTGTGACAGAACCGAAGCGAAGGCGGCGTTAAGGCGGCCGCCGCTGTTGTTGTTGTTGTCGTCGTCGCCCTGAGAGCCCCGGCCCTTCTTTCTTTCTTTCACCGCCAGGGGGGTCAGGAGGCAGCCGGCGCTGCCCCCGGCCATGGTCCCCCGCCCGCCGTCTTGGAGGCAGGAGGAACCCGAGCGGCCGCCATTGCCTGAGGGGGCTGCGAGGGGGCTGCGGGAGGATGGACGCTGACGAGGTGACCATCCGCGAACAGAACTTCCACAGCCAAGTGCGGGAGTACACGGTGCGTAGCCGCCGCCTCACCTCTCCTTCCCCGGCCAGCCTCGACCCGCCTTTCGCCGTATCTGCCCCTTGTCGAGCCTCGCTTAGGCTGCCCGCCCGCCCGCAGGTGCAGACAGGAGGCGGCCCTCGTCCGCGAGCGAGAGTTCGCTCCCCACCTGCCTGGCGCCCCGCAGGTCGTTTCTGCCCTTCAGCGCCCCAGTGTGGGAAGCCACACCGCCGCCTCGGGAAACGGGGCTCAATAACACCCCGCATGCACGCTTACTCGCGAGGAAGCCTTCTTGGGTGCCACTAGGGCTTACTCCTGCGCAGCCGTGCCTTGTGTGGTGAACGGCAAAAGAAAAAAAGCAGCACGAAGCAATGCTCTCTCTAAGCTGTGAAGTCCTGTGAGCAAAAATGCTACTTTGTGAGGTACTGGCATTAAAGTTGTGAGCGAGCGGTTTGGCTACTGCATCAGTTAGTTTGCTCTGGAGCCATCCTTCCTGAGCGAAGACAAAAATGTGTGAGCTGGAAGCTAAAAAAACTGTGAGCTAGCTCACACTAACTCAGCTTAGAGGGAACACTGGCATTAAGTGACATCCACTTTTGTAAAAATATGTGCCGCCTACTCTAGGATAGAAAAGAGCAAGAGTCCAGTAGCACCTTAAAGACTGACAAAATATGTGGCATGGTAGGAGCTTTTGTGAGTCACTGCTCGCTTCTTCAGATACAGCTAGAATGGGAGTCCCTCTGTCCTGTTTTCTCTGGGATCACTCCACTTTCCAATAAATAGGACAGATGGACTCCCATTCTAGCTGTATCTGAAGAAGTGAGCAGTGGCTCAGGAAAGCTTCTACCCTGCCACACATTTTGTTAGTCTTTAAGGTGCTACTGGACTCTTGCTCTTTTCTACTGCTTTGTTGTTCAGTTGCACAGTTGAGTCCGACTCTTCACGACTGCTACGGACAGACTAATAGGGCTACCCCTCTTGAACTACTGTAGGGGTCAGTAGTCAAGTCGTTGTCTCTTAAGGGTGCAGTCTTTATACACGTGTACCTGGAGAGTGAGAGCCATGGAGCACAGTGGGACTTCTGAACAGATGTGCGTGGGATTGTAAATAAGAGTAGACTGAGGTTTATTTTTCTCTTTTATGTGTTTATATTCCTGGGTAAGACATTAATTTAATAGGGTTTAGTGCCATAGCCCAGGCTAGCCTGATCTTGTCAGATCTTGGAGGCTAAGCTGGGTGGGGCCTGCTTAGTATTTGGGTGGGAGACCACCAAGGAAATCTAGGGTCACCATACAGAGGCTAGCAGTGGCAAAGACGGCGGTTTTTCTTTTGCCGTGAAACCCTCTGGCGTCACCACCATAAGTCAGCTGTGACTTCATTGCACAAAAAAGTGCTGTTTAACTGCCAATGACCATTCACCACCCTTAACAGCAGGCCTTATCTCTAGAGTAGGAAATTGGCATCCCGCTCCCTTTATATCCCTGTTGTTGGACGTTTGCTATGATAGCAGGTGTGATGATGTACACAATGCATTAGAATTGGACAAGGGAATACCCAGGGTTATCCATAAAGCTTGTTGTATGACCTTGAGCCAGGCTCTTAAAATGAGGGGCTCATTTATGTTGCCCTGAACTGTTTAAAGAAGGAAAGTATATAAATATAGTAAACATTGTTTGGGCAAAAAATGCTTAGCTTCTGTATTCTGTGGCAACATATGAGAATAAATTAAAAGCCATTAAATGCAGTGTTCTTCAAAAGTATATGGTTTGATGCTGACTACTGCTGTATGGCCCATGGAATGTGATTGGGAAGGTATATTCCCTTGGCAAAGCTTCCCCTCATATGGGCAAAATGCTTTGCCATGCTCTGGTTTGTATCATCTCCAGTTGACTATGGTAGCTTTCTGTACCAAAGCCAAGTTAGAAGAAGAATGTACCGTGGAGTTGCAACTGACTGATGGCAATTTCATCCATGGAACATTCCACACAAGAGATGAGCAGAGGTGTTTTGAAATTGCCTTCCTCTGCATAGCAACCACAGTCTTACTTGGTGAGTACTTCCAAATACTAACTGTGACTGACCCTGCTTAACTTCCAAGCTCTTATGAGCTTGGGGTAAGCTGGGCTATTTGGGTTGCAAGAAGAATTTTTATTTATTTCATTAGATTTTTACCCCACCCTCCCAGCAAAGCTGGCTCAGGTACTTTTAAGATGCAGCCAACTTATGGTGACCCCATCCGTGTGCGTTCCAGGCAAGAGATGCTTTGTCATTTTACAACCATCTAAATTGTACTTATCTCTGTTTCTTTTGTGCAGGTGTGCATATATTTGCGAAAGAAGGGGAGCATATGGATAGAAAATGTGCCATATAGTGTTTCAGATTACCAAGCAGGAAAGTATGTGGCACATTCTCCCCAGTTATTACACACACACATGCACACACAACACACCTCCCTCCATGACAAAAGAAATATGGAAGAAACCTTAATTCATTTTAATGATTCTGGCGTTCAGCCTTTTTTTGAATTTTAAACTTTAGATTTTTAAATTATAAATTTCAGCTTTATTGGCTTTATTGGGCACTACAATTTAAGAGCTCCTGCCAACCTAGCAGTTCGAAAGCAAGAAATTGCAGGTAGATAAATAGGTACCACTTCGGTGGGAAGGTAACAGCGTTCCGTGCACCTTGGTGTTTAGTCATGCTGGCCACATGACCACAGAAACGTCTTCGGACAGCGCTGGCTCTTCGGCTTTGAAACAGAGATGAGCACCGCAACCCTAGAGTCGGATTCGACTGGCTTTCAAGCAAGGGAACCTTTACCTTTACCTTTACCTTACAACCTAAGAAGGATATAGACAAGCTGGGATGTGTTCAGAGGAGTGCAACGAAGATGGTGCGGGATATGGAGACCAAGTCCTGCGAGGAAAGGCTGAACGAGCAGGGTATATTTAGCGTGGAGAGGAGATGACTGAGAGGTGATACAATAACCCAGAGCCCTGATGGGCCGATACTGGCTCCCGGGCCTTATGTTTGACATCCCTGGGATAACATAAGAACATAAGAACATAAGAGAAGCCAATGTTGGATCAGGCCAATGGCCCATCCAGTCCAACACTCTGTGTCCCACAGTGGCCAAAAACCAAGGTGCCATCAGGAGGCGCAACAGATTCTTGAAGGGTGTTGCACTTAAATGCCACTTTTAGAGGAGCTGAGTTGGTTTTTTTTTACCAAATTGGTGGTTTTAACATTTCTGAAAACTGCACCAGTTGATTTGATAACTTTGGTGCAGGTGTTTAGACCACAATTCCCATCAAGTTCTATATATTTCTAAATTCAGAAATATATAAATAACCATTTTCAAGTACTTGAAAGGCTGTCATACAGAGGATGGTATGGAGTTGTTTTCTGTTGCCCCAGAAGGTCGGACCAGAACCAACGGGCTGAAATTAAATCAAAAGAGTTTCCAACTAAATATTAGGAAGAACTTCCTGACAGAGTGGTTCCTCAGTGGAACAGGCTTCCCCGGGAGCAGGATTGCTTGGGAGGTGGTGGACTTTCCTCCTTTGGAGGTTTTCAAACAGAGGCTAGATGGCCATCTGACAGCAATGCTGATTGTGTGAACAGGCAGATCATGAGAAGGAGGGCGGGAAGGGTTGCATCAGTGCTTAGTTCTTGTGGCTGATTGCCACTTTGGGGTTTATTTATTTATTTATTAGATTTTTACCCCACCCTCCCAGTGAGGCTGGCTCAGGGCAGTTGGGCAGAAGTTTTTTTTTCCAGGCCAGTTTGGCCATTGATCTTGGAGGGTTTTTTTTGTTATCTTCTGGGCATGGAGCAGGGGTCACTGGGTGTATGTGTGTGAGGGGAGGTATTTGTGAATTTCCTGCATTGTGCAGGGGATTGGACTAGATGACCCTGGAGGTCCCTTCCAGATCTCTGATTCTATGATTCTATTACTTTAATCTCTAGGGCAACCAGCCGTTCTTGTCATTTTGGAAATTTCCCTTCTTTTCATCCTGGTGGGTTTTTTGCATTTTTGGTTTGTTGATTTTGCTTTTGGCAACTCAGATGTTTTCTGTCTGAAAGACTTTGTGCTCCATAGATAATCTTAAATTGAAGTGACATGACACTGGCTTCAAAGGAGATCACTGCCTTCAAAGTCAGCTAGTCTTTTGCTAGAGTCAGGTATGTTTGATGTACCTGCATATAGGTTGCCTTTATTTTAATTGAGGGATTAAGACCAGGATCAGAAATATTCCCTTGGTGTCTGATTTTTTTTAACACTTAAATAAAGTGATTGTTTATCTATAGTAGTGTAGTCTACATATGTGTTTTTCTTGGGGTTTGAATTGTGTTTGGTGACAGGTTGTTCTTGTTTTTTGTTTTATGTGTGGGGTGTTCCTATTGTTTCACTAAATTGATGGTTATTTTGAGGCCATGTTCTGGGAAGGGCAGGATTATAAATGTTTTACATGCAATAACTAGAGCTGTGAAATTTGGAGGCCATGGAAAAAACTGTTTTCAGGTTTTGGAAAAAATTCAGAAATGTTGGGAAACATTGAAATACATGCAATACTTACTGTCCTATCAAACCCAAACTAATTTTTACTGCTTCAACAACATAAAAGATCACTTACAACTTAGCATATAAAATTGCAATATTTGACTTATTTATGGAATTTAGAAGTTATAAATACTTTTGTTTTGTGCAAGCAAAATTGCAAATATGCTCAGTATTTGAGAGAAAACTGCAAGCTGATGGATCCTGTGCTGTTTTAGCGCGTGTACCTTAATTTTTGCTATTTGGTTAGAGAGAGCTAAGTTCTCATTGAAACTTTAGATTTTCCTCTGAGGCTTTGGTGTAATTTCTGCTACACCTCTTTCTGCCTCCTGCTAGGTAGGGCAGTAAGCTACTTTTTACTCATTCTGTGGGTAAGTGTGTCACAGAGGTTTGAAGGAAAGGTGAAAAGGTTAACCACATCAGGTCAGAAGGACAACACAAGTCAGGTAATTGT